AGAAAGCGAGGGAAAAGAGACGCACGTCAACCGCTGTCAGTTCTGCCGTCGTCCTCGGTCTGAGCATCGCTGCTCGACCTGAGTCCTGTCGCAACTTTGACTAGCGTAGCAGCGCTTATAGCGTTGATACAATTACGACCCTGCAGAGAGGAATTAGACTTTGAGTGAGGCCGACAAAAGACAGACCGCATACCGAGTTGAACCAAACCCTGCAAACCGCGCGGACCGTCCACAGTAGGGAACCAGCTCTGACTACAGAGCAGCAAGTCCAAGAGCAGATAGTACACAGACCGCGGCAAGTGGTAAATGGAACCTCTTGTGAAGACTGTAAGGAGAGGAAAAAAGGATACGACTAGGAACGTACCTCCGAACAACACTCCGCTCTTTGCTGCGCACAGTGCGAGCTGAGGCGTATGCGTACATCAGAGAACCTAGCGCCGTTGAAAAACTAGAAAACGAAGGGAACAGAGCAGAAATACCTCGGCCGACTCGCAACCACCTTGCGATGAATGGAGCCGACACAGTCGCGAATCGCCCGAACTCATGGCTGCATTACCCAGCATCCTGCGATAGGAACATGGGGGGAATCGGAAAGAGACCAAAGGGCCAATTGAGCCAAATCGGCTTATATAGGCACAAGCCGTCCCAAATAATGCGCTAATTGATCGCGAGTCACGTCCGGACGCGCTTGTTCTCAACCACCGTGAACCCGTTCTCGACCCTCATGGACCATGGGTGTAAAGTCTTTATGGAAGCTCCTCGCGCCTGTTGGTCGGCCCGTCATGTCGGCTTTCCACGAATCTCTTTTTCTCCATAACTGAGACATTGGATTAGGCTCGAGACCATGGAGGGTCAAGTAATGGCTATTGACTCGAGTATCTGGATATACCAATTCCAGGCTACTATGCGTGATAACGACGGGAAGGCGCTGTCAAATGCTCACGTCCTTGGCTTCCTCCGCCGAATCGCCAAACTGTTGTTCTATGGAATTAGACCCGTTTTTGTTTTTGACGGAGGTGCTCCCGCTTTGAAGAGAAACACCCTTGTAAGTCTGCATAAAGTATGCGGAATTTCGTCTTCTCATGCTCCATAGAATGAGCGGAGAAAGAAGAAGACTGGAGCGGCCACAAGCCATACCAAACTAGCCGAAAAGCTTCTCGCTGCCCAACTGAGACGCGAGGCTTTGAAACATGCGAAAGGGGCACAGTATATCGCGTATTTATCTTCCAGTCCTCACTCTCATTCTTTACAGGAAACCGGCTAAAGGCAAGGGCAAAGCACCCGCTGGGCCCGTTGTACTCGACGATAACACGGTGTACCTCGAGGACATTGACCCTTCAATACCCAAGACTCCGGCGCGGAAAGCTACGACAGCACCCTCCTCGGTGTCCCCCAGCAAGCCCAGGTTCCATGATCATGATCCATATCACCTCCCAGACGTTGATTTTGAGGCTGCTGTCGCAAAAGCAACTCGGGCTGCGGTCCCCGATCCGCGTCTGGCCACCGAGGACGAGCTGCGCGAGTTCATTGAGGATATGCGGCCGGAAGATTTTGATGTTACCTCTCCTGCCTTCCGTGAGCTGCCGACTGAAGTCCAGTACGAAATCGTCGGAGACCTTCGACTCAAATCGCGGCAAACGTCATACGCTCGTCTGCAGAACATGCTCAAAATCGCACCCACTCCTCTCGACTTTTCCAAACAGCAGATTCAGAATCTGCGGCAGCGGAACACTTTGACGCAACAGCTGCTCATGACCACAGATAGTATCGGTAAAGCCAACCTCACCATCCCTGTTCGCGTTGCAAGTGAGCGCAACAGAGAGTACGTGTTGATAAAAAACGAGGGTCATGACGGCGGATGGATTCTTGGTATCCGGGACGACGGGACGCGGGACAAGCCGATAGAGATTGACCAGGACCCTAAAGTTGTCCCGGATGACGATAGCGATGAGGATATGGAGGAAGTTCCAATGTTCGCCTGTTGTTTCTGCGGTAGTACATCGCTAACCCACCGATATCTAGTCCGTCAGTTGGAGTGCCAGACACCGACTTGCAAGAATTTCAACGATCAATGAACCTTGCGGCTATCGCGAATCGCCATGCGCCCAAAAAACCTGCAATACCAAGGAAAGATCTGCTGCAATCTGTTTCGTTACCACTATTCGACATAGACGACGCCAGCGAAATGCCGATAATTGACGATGAGGACGATGGGGAACTTGCTTTGGCGATTCAGGAATCCATCGATCAAGCTAATGCAGCAGCACGCGAGGCCCCTGCGCGTCCCCGACGGCCTGTTATGGTCAATGCTGTCGCCTCGTCTTCCAAACTCGTTGACACAACGCCGCACAGACCATCCGAGTCTGTTTCCCGATATCCTTTCCACGACGAGGATGCGTTTGTGCATGGGAATCGGCTGGAGACTGCGTTGTCCATCGCAAACGCAGGGTTCGTGCGGAGCCGGACGAAACCCGCGGCTAGGTCCATGTTCGGGGAGCCGGTATTACTGCAGACAAAGACCGCTTCACCTGCGGCACCTTCACCTCTATCCCGACCTATAATCCAACCCGCGCTACCTTCGCCTTTATCACGATCTATAACTCAACCGGTGCCCGTACTTCATTCAGTGACGGAAGGCGTTCCGGCACAAGCTGGAACCCCAATATTTGGGAAGCCCGTCTTGCTGCAATCGTCGACTCCTCTTCCATCTCCGCCTCAAATCAACCCAGACCCTATCGAACTTTCGGATGAGGAGATGGAAGAGGTATTACCGGCTTTTGAGCCTGAAATGTCGAATGCAGACCCATCACCAGCTGGAGCTTCGTTTGAGCCATCCGAGATGGATGATGGACCACAGATCGCTGTAAAAGCCCTCGGTCCATCTCCACCTCCGCGACTTCCATCTCCTGTTACCGAACGTCGCCCAGTAGTTGTACCGAACGAAACAGAGCATGACCTGCAAACACTCGTAGAACCAGTCTCCGTTGAGCCGCTCGCACTCCAGAACTCTTCACCGGACGCAACAGAGACTCTTCCTCTGCTATCGTCCTCCCGGAACGATGTAGTCGAGGACGAACCTATTAGCGACTGGTCGAGGTCCCCGTCACCGATGGTTGTTGGGTTAGAACAGCCACAACCACGAGCCCCGTCCCCCGTTGCGGAGGACTGGGACGCCGCTCAAGAGATGGATCCGGACGCAGAAGAGGGCGAATTTGCGCGGTTCATGTCGCAAGTCAAGGGCAAGGACCTGGACGACGTTCGGCAAGAAATCGACGACGAGATTAGGGTCTTGAACGCGCAGAAAAAGGCAGCGATGCGAGATTCCGAAGACATAAACCAGCAGATGATATCGCAAATCATGGTGGGTGCATTGCATCGTTTCGACTCAGCTTATGTTAACATGTGTAGACGATGCTGAGTCTATTCGGCATCCCGTATATCACTGCGCCGATGGAGGCTGAGGCTCAGTGCGCTGAACTCGTCCATCTGGGGCTCGTCAATGGCGTGATCACCGACGATTCGGACGTGTTTTTGTTTGGAAGCCAGCGCGTGTTCAAAAACATGTTCAACCAGTCCAAAACGGTCGAGTGCTTTCTGCTCTCAGACCTGAGTCGCGAGTTGGGTTTGGATCGTGACACGCTCATTAGACTTGCGTATCTGCTTGGTAGTGATTATGTTGAGGGACTTGCAGGCGTCGGGCCAGTCGTCGCGATGGAACTTTTGGACGAGTTTCCTGGGGAAGATGGGCTGCACAAATTCAAAGAGTGGTGGACGAAGGTGCAGTCTGGAAAGGACAAACCGGAGGATAACAAGTCCAAGTTTCGGAAACGATTTGCAAGTATTGCGAACATCAGTCCATCGTTTTACTCACTTTCACTTTAGAGGAAAAATTTCAAGGACCTCTACCTGCCCCCAGAGTGGCCGAACGCACTTGTGGTATGTGTCGCTTTCGTTAATCTCGTGGACCTAACAGTGCGCAGAGGGACGCCTATTACCACCCCACTGTCGACGAGTCGGATGAGCCTTTTAAATGGGGCTTGCCGGACCTTGATGCGCTCCGACAGTAAGTAATGTCGATCTTCTCATTTTCGAGTCTCATTTGGGATTAGGTTTCTCTACGTCGAGCTTGGCTGGTCCCCGGTCAAAGTCGACGAGCTCTTGTTACCTGTCATCCAAAAAATCCGCAAGCGTGGGCTGGTATGTCGACGTTGTCTCACTCCTCGAGCTTGAGCTCACACTACATAGAATGGTGCATTAAACAAACAGGGGAATCTCGATGGCTTCTTCGACATCACTGGGAGTGGGACTATTGCCCCTCGGAAACGTCACGCGTACGCGAGCAAACGTCTGCAACAAGTCGTATCCGATTTTAGGAAGAAACGGAAACACGGCTCCAAGTCCCCAGCCGCAAGTACGGGCGAAAATAGTCCGTCCGAGGACGAGGACGTCCCTGTCAAGAAGAAGGCCAAGGGAAAATCCAAGGCCGTGTCCGCACCGAAACGCGGGACTGGCCGCGGGCGTGGTCGGGGTGCGAAGAAGGGTTCTTCTCGCAAGAAGATGGTCTCTGAGGACGAGGCAGAATTTCAAGGGGTAGAACCAGAGGCCAAATCGGGTCTCGGGCTTACGGCACAACTACGTCCAAGGCCTAAACCCGCTTATAAGGGGGCCGTAGCGGAGGCGGGATCTATGGACGAAGCGCAGACACAGTAAATGCAAATGTAATAACTATCTTATCCAATTGGCGATTCAATGTTCACCAACTAACAGAAAACCACTTTGCTTCCAACAAAGAAAAAAATTGTTCCCCAACCATTCCTCGCAGCCTGCTGAATGCGCCTATCCTCCAAGATACTACCAGGGCATCAATGGACGAAATGCACAAACGTGATGAAGTCGCGACCCCTGCCTATCGCGCTTGATACGGAAAAGAAAAAAAAGCTTCCGCGTATCAAAAAGATCCTTCCCTGCATCCTTCATTACTTATTCTCCTTAACCATCACAGCAGCATGGCGCAGATGGAAGCGCGCGGGGCCCATATTTGTCTGATGATTTACTCGTTGAGTAATCTACGCAACCCCGAGGTCACTCGATCGAAACGAGTTGCTGCTATCTTCTTTTGTTTTGAGATTTTTCTTTCGTCATCTTTCTTATTTTTTTACCTTGCTGGCCCCCTGGATCATTCATAAGGTCGGCCCGGCGTCAGGGCGTTTTGGACAGCAATTTTACCTTCAATACATCTCTACTCGGAGGTTCAAGATCAAGAAGTTGAGAAGCGGGAAAGTTCCTCATACTGCACCTCTACTTTAGTTTTTTGATGCAATCCAATCAACAATGTGGTCTGGGGTCCCATGCACTCTGTGCAGTGGTTGTGCGAGCTGTTCCGAGCCTTTTTCCACATTCTTATCACCTTGTCTTCTGCGTCCACAGCGTTGTCCCATTCAGCAACGACTCGGAGGACATATCCAAAGTGTACGACTTGGTAATATGCCAGGTCCTCCCAGATGCATCCCGGGTGTTGGGAGAGCCGGTGTGCAGATGGCGGGGAAAGAAGTTTTTGTTGATGCAGTGTTGCAATTTATGCAGATGTGTCGTGGCCCAGAGTAGGCGGAGGGACTCGGGCTTCATTTCAACATCGTTAATGGTGGTATCCTACGGTACAGTAAGCAGATAGGATGTTGCCCAAGGAGGAGAGCCCACATTTGGTGGTGTTGGAGCAAGAAGAGCTTCGGTCAACTCGGATTATCAGTTCGTTTCCCTTCCGTCGAGGCAATGACTATGTCCAGTGGTTGATTACGCAGGTAGTGCTCAAGTAGTTCTGGGGGTTGGAGGATTATCACTAGATTTATCATGGAAAGCGGCAGCAGCCTCGGGACTACTGAGGTAGGCGGTGCATATAATGTTGTACGTCGTCAGGTTTGCATGCGGGCATAGCAGCAAACCGTTAAGACAGTCAGAGGAATGATCTCGGTGCATGCGAGTCGGGAAGCCACGTCCAGGCGAATTGAGTCGGAGGGGTGAACGAAGAGGCGGAACGGGAAGGGAGACATGAGAGTTGAGGCAATGTGGAGATTTAGGAGAGGAAATAATAGGGATCAAAAAAATCGTTGACCCACACGTCGGACTCGGGTCCAACTCAGTAGATGAGATGCTGACTGAGTTCATGGATGGGGTGGCCACAGTCAAGATAATAGGCAGCATGTGGTCAACCAGGTAAAAAGCACTTCCGCTCGAAGTTCTTAGCTCCGGAGTTAGGTCGGTTGCAAGGTCTGTATTCCGCGCAGTAGGGTTGACGCTTCCATTGGGAGCTTCAAATAGAGTCCTTGAAGGCGGAGTTGAGAGATACTGTAGGTTCGGGCGGAGCCAGTGTTCCGGCTTAAGGCCTTATTAAGGGTCTTTTTTATTGCTAACCCTTAGGACCCTTAAGATGGCCTTAATAAGGGTACCCTTAATAAGCCCTTAATTTCCTAAAGGGGAAAATCCAGTGAAATTGCCACAAACAAAAACATAGAGCTGAAATTGTGTGTTGTACCCTTACCGTTAAGTTCCTCAACAGTCCAGACCCGGCTTACCCCGAAGCTGCCTCATCTCCGCCAGGGGAAATGACTTTGCCAGTCAAACAACCCACTCCGACTCATCATTATTGACTTCATCTGCAATATCATAAAAGTGGGTATGGCCAAGTTGAAATTGATATTAGGGCCACATTTTCCCCACTCAAAGCATTGCACAGTAGCTTTTTAGCTAGAATGATGGGCCATCATTTACCCTTAACGTGCCCTTAATATGCCCTTAACATGTTTTCAGCCAGTTATTAAGGGTTAACGTTAAGGGCTTATTAAGGCCTACCCTTAATAAGACCTTAGCCCTTAGCCACAACACTGGGCGGAGCTAAAAGTGCCGTAAGGTTTTGCTGACTGTGATCGGTGACAGCCGTGACGCGTACTGGCCGAAAGCGCCGAATAATAACACGAACAACGCCGAAAACCCGTGATCGCGGCCCTCCTCTTTACGCTCGTTCATTCGACGACGAGCGACCCGAGTTTGAGGCTCGTAGACAAAACCCGCGCTAATACTCCGCCGCTTATATCTTGCGCCATTTGCTCCTCAGCCTCCCATAACACGCCTTTTCCATGCTTGCCTCACGCTCAAGACTGCTCTCTCTCTCAAAAGCACACTGCAGGCCAAGATTCTTTACCCAGTCATATGTCAGAATCGATGCCACACCCCGGTGTACCATCCCACGAACGCGAAATATTCACTCTTCCCCCAGTCCGTAGTTTTCTCCCGCTCGTTTTGGTTCTGAATGTGTTTGCAACCTTCAAGGCGTATGGCATGGGGATATAACCCGGCCAGAGCCTGGAACTGGGTTGGTCCACTTTGTTCATATACAATGCGCTCGTTTTACCGACTTGAAGCTCCTTGTAGAATCACGATACATTTCCGGGACGCGAAAGGCTCGCTCGTCAAAAGCATCGAAGCCAATGAAGGGGATGATTTATTGTCAATTGCACACGAGCATGATATCGACCTGGAGGGTACGTACCCTTCCCTTGCGCGACCGCTTGTTTTCTTAATTCTCTTCTTCGGAAGGTGCCTGCGAAGGCTCCGTAGCATGTTCCACATGTCACGTTATTCTCCCTCCAGAGTACTATGACCTCCTCCCCGAACCCGACGACGACGAAAATGATATGCTAGACATGGCCTTCGCACTTACCGACACAAGCCGGTTGGGTTGCCAAGTGAAACTCACTCGAGAGCTGGACGGGATGACTGCGACATTACCCGCGGCCACGCGAAACATGTTCGTCGATGGTGGGTGCAAAATAGTCACTGCTGCTTTCGTTTCTGACCACCGCGCACAGGGAAAAAGTCAACTCACTAATACGCATTAATTTTTTTCTAATGAGATATAATCCCCTTTCTCCGGGCTCGTGACTCCTAGCGACGGAGCTCTCGAATTAGGACCCTTGCGCCGCGCACTGGGTCGGAATGTCCTCCTTTATCATTTGGGTTGCATGATCGAGCTTCGGACGAATACGGAACACCCCGCAATCATTTATTGATTTCGGTCGACGATTCCGACACTCGACTTTTTTTCTCGGGTACTTATGTTTGCACATTGTCAGAACTGCGCTACGCCGTTATCGGCAAGAGTGGGCACGTGGCTAGAATCGAGTCAGAACGGAAATGCGGGGAATCCATAGAAAACGAGTCTGTTCCAAGATCTGTTCTTGAACTTTACTTGTCAATGGCTGACGAGACCGAGATACCCCTCCTCTCTCCCGACTCACCGACAGAACTAGTTTCCAGGCAAAATGAAATTTACGACAGATTCTCGAACGGGTCTAAAAATGCTATTGTGGCTCTGGTCTCCTGGTGTGGACTCTTACCGCGTATGTTACGCGTCAATAAGCCGCCAAAAGTCTAATTTATATAGTCTTCGTGTCGGGGTCTTTTATCCCCTGCATCCCACAAGTCGCGGAAAGCTTTAACACGACTGGCCAAGTTGTCAGGTAAGGCTTCCCTAGTCATCCAGGGCTGTACCGACGGTCTGCCTTCAGTTTGGCGGTCAGCATCTCATTCGTTGCGACTTCTGTTGGAGGCTTGATCGGTGCTTCGTACTCCACCTTCTGTGCGGATCCTTTTTTTTTTTTTTCAAGGCGTTCGTTGAGAACCTCTTCTCAGATGGACGGAGACCGATGTACATGATTGGATTGCCGTTACTGTGCTTTGCCTCGTTTGCTCTTGGATTCGCTCGCTCGATTCCCGAGTTGATGTTTTTCCGATTCTTTCAAGCTCTCGGAGCTGCTCCAGGTTTATCCGTAGGTACTCGATATTTCTGTACCTCTCGTTTTCGTTTACTGATCTCTCTTCAGGCGCTGGAGTCATTGCCGACATATATGCATTAGAGGAAAGAGGCATGGGGATGGGTATCTTCTTCGGAGTTAGTCGTACATCTGACGCATAACAACCGCGCTCACGGGTTCGTTAGGCGTGCCTATTGGGACCTGCTTTATCACCCCTAGCCGGAGGTAAACATGAACTCTCGTCGATTCTTTTATATCCTGTTCACCTCCCTTCCAGGTCTCGCTGCCCATTACTCAAGCTGGAGAGCTATGCAGCACATTTTAGGCCTCTCAGCGGCAGTTGGCTTCGTTTTCATCCTCTTGCTCCTTCCTGAAACGAGTCACCCTGGAACCCGAGGCGTAGAGAAACTGATACGGGAAAGTAACGGTACCAAACGATATGCGTTTGTGAACCCCCTGAAGAGCTTGTCGCTGCTTCGTAGTCCAAATCTGTTGGCGGTGGTACGTGTCAGTGCCAGTGAAATCCCACAGCATTAATGGGTTATACCTCAGACAATTGCGGCTTGGATGAATCTCCTCGCCGAGTACGGTCAGTATTCCCGCCCAGCATTGTACAGCCACTGATAGCTTTCATAGTTCTCCTGGTCCCGCTGGCATATACCATCGTAAGTTGCGATCCAATGCACTTCCGACTGTGGATTGGATGCTCTGCAGGGAGTCAGATTCAACGTCACGAACGAGGCCTTGTTGGGCGCTATTTTCTTACCCTGTGGTGTTGGAAATATAGGCGCGTGCCTTGATTTTCAGTCTACCCTTGCCACTCAAGCACGAGCCGCGCAGTTGGAGCTCCTCTCGCCGGCCGTTTATCCGATCAAATGGTGGTGAAGTGGAAGAAGCGTCGGGGAGGAAGATGGGTCCCCGAGGACCGCCTCCGCGCCTCGTTGATTGGGGCATCCACGCTCGTTCCGCTTTCAGTCCTCCTCAGCGGTTTGACCATGACTTATCTCGATGGCCCACTTGGCATTGCTCTTACTCTCTGTCTTCTGTGAGTGTCTCGTTCCATTTTAGTTTGGGCCCATCTTAACGCAATAATATACTAGCTTTTGCAACGGCCTAGGTGTACTGGGTTTTCTGTGTCGTCCCACTGTGTTAGTTAATCTTGTTTCGAAAGGTTGACATGGTTCTGAATCCAATCGGAACCTACTCTGTCGATATTTTCTTAAACCGAAGCGCCGAGGGAATCGCCGGGAACAAGTCGGTCTCTATCCACTCAGTCCAACACCGTCTAACTAATTGCACAGG